AAATGTATTTTAACTTTTTGTTAAAAATAGGGGATTATATCCAAAAAGTAATATATTTTTATCCATAAATACCGACCAGCTCTAATAATTTCTAAGTGATGCTTAAAATGCTTTGCCTCAAAGTCGATTCTTATCGATATAATCTAAGTAAAGAGAGTTGTCGACAAAACATAATTAACTCGTTCTACGCGCATTTGATTCAAATTTTTAGTCTCTAGCTAACAGTATTTTCGAGGTAATCGCGTTTGTACAGATGAACTCTTGGTCCTCTTGATCAAGCATATGTATTTCACAAGGTCGGAGATGTTTTCTGGAGCCTGTTATACCCTAATTACCTACGGGTCCAGAGAATAATAAAATAGAAGACGAAGCGAAATGCCTCAAGACGTTGCCTAGCTGTTGGGGCAGAAGCTATGGAGTTGGGGGTCAAGGCGTAGCCAATCTGAGTGTGAGTGGGTGTGGGTTTGTTTCTGTGGCTGGGATTCTGGGCAACGGTTTCGGGCTTGCGGCTGTGACGCAGATAAGCAAAAGTTCGTCCCTGTTGTTGTTGTTGCTGCTGCTGCCTAGATTTTGCATGCAGGCGTCGCCGCCGTTGTCCTGCGGCAAGCTCTCAAGCCGAAGTTGATGCCGAATCAGAACTTAAAAATCATGTCATATGGCAGCAAACGCCCCAACATTCTACCGCCTTCACTCTTAGCCAAGCTGTCAGTTGTTCACTCTGTTCTCGTTTCTCTCTCGGGTAATTGAAGAAGAAGCAGCAGCAGAAGAAGCAGCTGCAGCAGCTGACATAACAAGCGGCAATATGCTCGAGCTGCCTGCAACATGTTGCAATTGCTTTGCACTAAACTTAGATAAAACCCGATGGCCACACTGTGGGTGATATGGGGCCGCCCCAAGGTGTCAACTGTGCCCCTGGATATGCGCGTGTACATACTTCATTTAGATACGCTTAATATGTATATAAAAGTGCAAGCATAGCCACGTTGCGGCTACATTTGAGTACCTTGATCTTAAACTTTTAGAGAAAAAGTATATTCCGCGCTTTCCTGCATTTCCTATTTGTTTATTTATTTCTAAGCTATTTCCAATAGAATCACTTAAGCTGCTGAATTGGTTTCCCTGCTTGATTTGAAACTGAAGCTCATTCCTGGCTATGCAATTGTCCAGTGAAAGGCAATCAGCTGCTAGAGCTCGGTAATTTAAAACGAGGCTGCGTATTTTCAATTAAGTAAATGCTCGAAAATTAAGCCAACATTATCATATCATCATCATCATTCTAAGTTCACTGATTTTCTTTTGTTTTCCCATTTTTATAAGACCCATTGAACCATTTGCAAATTAATTAAAAGGGTATAACGATTAGTGCAAATATATGTAACAGGCAGCAGAAAGCATCTCCGACTTCATAAAGTATATTTGAAATATTGAATGTAGGTCCTCCTAGGTCCTCCTTTTTTGAAGAATATACAAGATCAATTAAGAAACACAAGTGTTATTGAAGAAAGCGAGATATTGCTGCCCACGTCTCAGCGGCAGCTAGCCGAATTGCAAGAATTTCTGTATACATATGCATGTCTTTATTTCTATATACAGCATAGCAATTGCGATTGTAGCTGCATTTGGTGTTGGTAGAAGAGTGTTAAGGGAATCCCCTAGTCGTTAGCTTCCGACAAGAGCCTTACTTACTTAAATTGTTAAATTATTTTTTTTAATGCTAAGGCAAACGAGTGCATTTAGTGTTCGTAGAAGACTAGAAGATCAGGGTATTCCTTAGTCTAGCGCTCCTAAATGGAGCAGTCCTCCTTTTTTTTTCTCTTTTTCTTTGCAAGGTCTCATGATGATGAATGTCAAGTCAGTCAAGTCAGTCAACGTGAAGCAACTTGATGCCAACTTAAATGAAATTGTTGCACGGGCAAGGAGCTAAATTGCTGCAGCTGTAGATAAACCGTTATCAGTGGCTATGGAGAGGTGGCTGCCACAATCCTCGACTCGGCTGCTTGTAGGCGACACTTTAGTGGAGTTTGCCGTTTGACAGTGCAACTGACAGTGCGACAGACAAACAAACAACAAGGTGGCAGCAGGTGAAGGTTACAGCTAACTTTGCCAACTGTTCATTGAAAGCGGCAAAGGACTTCGCTATCCTTTGGCCAAGTGTCAATGCGCTTCTAGTGGCTTTTGCACCGGCAACGCCTGCAGCTTTCCACTGTCAATCGTTTGTCTTTGCTCAGTCAAAGTTTTACAATTTGTCTGCGTGAACTTTGACATTGAATTGAATGTATATTGTCTAAACTTAGCTGATGAGCCCTCTGATTAAGTGCCTCATGGAAAATATGCCGTTGGAATCAGCAAATTGCGCATTCGCCATGTGGGTCAACTCGAATTGAATTTTAACCAGTGCATATCAAAGTAAATCAAGGCGAGGGTCGCTCAATAACTTAAGTAATTTTTTGGCCCCATCCAGAATGGAAAATTCGTTAAAATTGCGAACAGTAGATAAAAACAAAATAAATAAAATAAGAAAAATATATATTTTTTAAAGGAAATTAAAAATATGAAATAATTATATGTCGTCAGTTAAAATATTATTTTGTTTATATTTTTAAAACCCCTTTGTTAAGCATTTCGGAAATGTAAGTGCAGCCCTCGAACTTTTTGCTGCGTATCCAACGCCTTATTCAGTTTGTACTCGACAAGTAGACTACTTCATTTCACTCATTAAATGCGCACTCAGAGGCTGCGTGGCAAACCCAATGATGAAATGCCAGCAAAGTCAGTGCCGGGATTCAATACCGCTCTGAGTATCCTGTTCCCCATTCCCCATCACCCATTGGAAACCTTCAACTAAACTCCAACACACATGCGCACCCACAATAACACACACATAAAGAGGCAGCCATTAACGCGGGTGCTGCCCAATTTAATGGTATGCGAACATTTTTGCAGGTATTTTAAGCGCCGACCCTTCGGCAAAATGTAGAGCCCCTTAATGGGCATAACCAGAAGCAGCCACAGCTAGCGATACTGTAGCAGGCAGGAGGAAAAGGTGGAGGAATTAACGCAGGAGCAGGAGCTTGTAATGACATTTTGTTTGTTTGATTTAGTTGTATGTGTGTGTGTGTGTGTGTGTGTGTGTGTGTGTGTGTGTGTATGTGCCTGTGTGTGCTGTGTACGCTCTGATGTATTTGTATCTGTGCGTGGGCATCTTTTAATTACAGCGATTATTTAGCCAGTAAATTCAATTTATTGCTGGCACAAAAATCAGCACTTTAAACACCTTAACAGCCAGCAGGACATTAAAATGCTGTACATAGAATATCAAATGCACTTTAAATAATATTTTATGTAATACTTAATGGATGGACGAGCGCGTTAAGGTGACACGGTTAATGCTAGAACTTAACAGTAAACAGTCAGCTCTTCAAGCATAGCATTGGCATATCGGAACGATTTTTAATTTATATTGCATTGCTGTTGAAACTTTACTAATTTCCTGTGACAAATCTGCCTCGAGATGCAATTGTATTTAATATGAAATGTATATAACATTAGGCTGAGCTATTTGGTATCGATCAGTCAGATCACAAGGTTGTGGAAGACAACTGAGCCATGGAACAGTTTCTGGTTCCCGGGAATTCCACTGTTGGCAGCGTAATGCCACTTGAGCATATGTCAGCCAATATTTTGATGCGCTCTGGATGCAAATATGGCTTTAGTAGACAGCCCAATCGTCTCATATGCGCACGGATGGTGTACACGCCGGGTCAGCAACCTGGGAGCTTTCGTAAAGCCTTCGGCTCTATATTTCCGTACACAACCACAGAACGTGCTACAGATAAACCAAAAGAAAGTAAACCTACTCAAAGGCATTTGCACTCCGGATTTCCTGATATGGGTTTCGGAACGAGCGGAGGCAGTAAGCCAGATGGAGGCAATGCTACCGATGAAGCTGTTCCATTTAATGGAGATGGTGAAGGCGGTGAACGACATCCAAATGACGATAAGATGATTGGTCAATGGGCTGTTAGTGGAAATGACAAAAAAGGAATGGACTGGAGCCTTGAAATAGAGCCACCATCAACGAAGCAACCTAAAAAACGAAAGCCGCCAAGTAACAAACCTGGGCGGAGTAATTAGACATAAGCTAATTATTCAACCAATAAAAAAACGATTGCAGATATAAATTTGTCCTGACCAACTGATTGGTGTTCAATGCACAGTACAAGCCGTAAGAGCTAGGAATTCTCATTGCCGTAAGCTTATTTACACAAATTTTTGCTCATTCCCGAAATGATTCTTTTGAAAATCTATTTGGGACGTGTTTCACATTTTTCGCAAAATCGGTAGTGAGTACGAGTGAAAGATTGCTTGGGCGATAGATTCCAACATTTGGTTCTTTATTCTATTGACATCAAACTCATTTTCTAAATAAGTTTTACGGGCGAAAAATAGTTGGTAAATTGATTTCTGATGGTTTAGAGTAAGAACTGGGAGTGCATAAAGCCATAAGCGAAAGCTTATTTTCGGCCACAAGACTAACATGGACGGAAACCATTGATTCTAACTTCGATGGATCTCATGGTACGGGCAAATTTACTTCTTCACGACCGGGAACTGGGTGAAAAATTAGTATCTAACATTTGCCACGCGCTAGGCCGGGTAATACCCACAAGTTTCTCATATTTGTTGGGCAAACTATTCACTCCATTATTTCGCTAAGACTAAGACGATTTTTAACAAATTTTATACTAATTATAAGAATATAAGTGCTATATTGGATCGATTTTGGCGGCACAGACGAATCGAAAATATAAAATTATCTTGATCTGTAACAAACATGCATTTGTCACAGTCTAATCCTTTTATTTACATGCACAGCTTGTGGGCAACACAGATTGTTACGTTTCACTAATTATATTAACAACGGATATGCAAATCGAATCCAATCACGACAGTTTAATGCCACAAATCGTGTATATTTCGTGGAAAGCGACAGGTGAGGAATCAGTTGCCAAACCATGGAGGCTCTGAATGGCTTGGAATTGTCGTTGCCCCACATTGCTCTGCCAGAAGCTGGTCTTTTGCTGCCAAACGGCTTATCGCCTGCGAGCTTGGAGCAAACTCTAATAGACGATCTGGAAGTGGCATTAAGTCGCTGTGCCCCCGGCTATGTGTGGAAAGATGAGGCAAACGGTTGTGTGATACAAATATCTCCACGCAGTCAGAAGTGCGAATGGGGCTACCAAAAGAATATACGGTTGGATGAGTGCAGAAGAATAAGGTACGATATGGAGCAACAAAAGGGACCTATCAGAAAGTGGTGGGACAAGAATGTTGGCAAGACAACTGCACCACCAGAGCCAGCCCGTCCAACAGTTATAAAGACGACAGCTTACACCGACGGCTGGTACGGTTACGGCTCCAATTTTGGCCGAAATGATCCACATTGGTAAACTTCGCATCGAATTGATCCGACAATAAATGAAATTCGCAAATAGCGTCTATTCGTCTACACAACCTACACGTGTATTATTTATTCTCCGTCGCGCCCTTTGGGACCATGGTCGAGGGTTCGAACAAAAAGATGCACTTTCTTAGCTTTTTATATATAATCCAAAATGTTTCGGACACATTTGCTGTAAGTGGTAAAAAGAGGTGCAACAATTTATATTCCTACATGTCTATCATAACTTCGGCCAAAAAATGATTTAATATAGTCAAGAATTTTGACATTAAGCCCCATGCTGGTAACACATTCAATTAATATTTAATTAATATTAATAATGACAATAATAACAAATTAGATACTTAGAGGAACATGGTTAAGTAAACTGGCTAGAGAGATAGATTGGCTAGAAATGTGGCTTTTCATTGCTTTGCTTGTTCAAATTTTTTTTGTGTTTGAACATTTATTTGCTTGTTTCCTTATATTAGACAATAACAGAGTTCTTTCTTGTGCATTGCAGGTACGTTCTGTCGATTTGCCAACATTGAAGCAATGAGAGGAAACAGTTGCCAAAACAAATGTCACGTGAGCCACAAACTTTTTGCTTTTTATTTGCTTTTGTGTTCATCAGAACAAAGCTAACACATTGAAATATTTGACTATTCTTTTGTACTTTTATACAAAGCTTATACCCTTGCGTTGGGTACTACGAATTAGCCACGAGCTTCAATTGCAAAAAAAAGATATTGAGACAAACCGGGCTTGAACCAATCTGGTCTAAGCTCGCTAATCCAATACCTAATTTATCATACTCCAAAACTTAAATCGAATTAGTTGGATACAGAACAGCCTACCCACAACCTGAACCAAACCAGTCTTTTTTCAAACAACGTTTAAGGTCAAAAGATTGTTTTTCCTAAATTTTTTTCCGGCATGAAATGAATGTGACTACAGTTAATATCTATCCCTAGGGTATAGAGTAAAAGACAATTATCAAATGCTGGGATTGTTCTCACCAAAGACCTTCATCGTTCGTTGTAGCTTAGTTTGCACGTCAGATTGCCTTGGCGTTCGGTTTTAGAGAGTTAAAGAAATAAAAAGAATTAGTTACTTAGATTTACTGTTATTTATTAGACAAAGTTCATTAATAGTTCACTATTATTGCTTATCAACTACACAGGCCCTACTTGGAGCCTCAGCGCTCGGCTGGACACTTACATCCTTTGTCTCCTCTTGTCGCCACTTTCGTAGGGTATTTAACCATCGGCAGGCTGATGATAGCTCTGATTTGTTCCGCTCCTTCTTCTACTTCTTCTTTTTCTTGAAATGCTGTTGTTGGCGCTTGCTGCAGTTGCCTTGACGCGAGCTGTGATTTGCTGCAATGCCAAACGCGCTGGCCAAATCACGTAAGCCCTTGCTTGTCGGCGCAGAAGGGTTTTTTTTTGCCCCATGTTGTCGGTTGGGGGATGGCGGATCATGTGTCTGCCGCTACTTTGCTCTGATTACAAACACAACAACAACAATGTTAGACGCGCTTTCTTAACGCCTGAGCGCCCCCCAAAATTCCTTGTGCAGTTGCTTTTTTTCACCTTCGCCTTTCTCTGTTGCTGGCAGTGGTAATTTCCCTTCCTGGTCGTGTGTTTGTTTTCTTTTTGTTTTTTTCCTTTGTTCGACATGTGCCAACTTTGTTTTAAGTGAAAATTGAAACCCAGCTCAGCAACTGTCCAGCATTCGCTTTTTATTTGGTGATTGCTTCGCTGGCCAAAGCTTGTAACTGAAAACTCAAAGCAAACTGAAAGTCTACGTGACAGGCGGGTCTGTCGCACCGGAAGTGGATAGCGTCCACATACACGAAACCAAGAAAAAATAAAAATAGAATATATACATGGAGAAAGAAAATGCACTAGATCTGTTCTCTAAGAGCTGACAGCCTTTGCAGCCATAATGAGTTCCTCTAAAGTTTAAACAAACCGTGGTTTAGATAATGAAAGCTTCTGACTTGTGGTTATAGTTAATATAGAGCCAGAACATCGGCTATTCTTTAAATATCGCCCTTTAATCCATCAGTCAATTATGTTATTTGTCTGTTATTCATCCAGTCATGCCTTAGCCTAAATGCACACATTTTTCTGTCATCTTGTTATTTGGCAACGAACAGACACGCATCGAATTCGGCCATAGTTATGTATCTCGCATGCACTGTAAACCAAATATAGGTAAAGTAAATCTCAAATATATGTATATTCTTAATTAATATAGCTCATTAAGAATATTTTTAATTACGCTGACTTGGCTGTCTATACTGATCAAATATGTATATAAATTAAGAAGTCCGAGAAGTCTCCTATGCGCACATTCCATGACCTTGCCAAAAATCAAGCTAGTTATCGGAATGCTTTTTCTAGTACAGCTTTGGAAGCATATACATTTCTGTTGCGTACATATTACACTTCCTTTATTTAAATCATAAACTTTTGCTTTACATAATTAAAAAAAATCTTGAGATTGAACTTAGCCTAATTCTTGTTTACTTTTCGGCCATTGGTGGGTCGTTTGCCAACTATTCGCTTGGTGGCCAGCCGAGGCTTCGATAAGGTGCGTTTGAGCTGGCGACGTCTTAAAGAGAGCATCAAAGAGCTGCCATCGTGCACACCATTGGGCAAGTCCATCAGCTTATAGACCTGGCCATTTAGCTCGGTGCAGAGGCATTGGCGTGTCCGCCTTTTCAATTGAGTGGGCATCGAGCGATTTGATGCCTCGAAATTTAGCAGGGATTTAACAGCCAAACGCCTGTCACAGGCGGTTGTGCAATGTCGCTTGACTTTGGCCGTCATCTTGCGCTTGGATGCGGCCGCCGAGCGCTTTGGCTTGGACTTGCTTCTGGTCTTGGCCGTGTTTCTGATCTTGGTGCGGCGGCGCGGCGCCAAGGTGCACATGTTGCAAGCGGAACGGCTGCATGGATCGAACAGCTGCCCGAACTGAGAGTTCGTGTACATGACCTCGGCGTCGTTGTTGCTCAGCTCTTTGCTTTCTTTCGAGGGAATCTGGCAAATGCGCCGAATGACGCTTGGCCTCAGCGTTTTCTTGGCGCGCACACGCGACTTCTTTGCGGTCTTGTCCACAGTTGTGGGCTCCTCTGCCGGCGGCTCCGCTTGCTCTTCTTTTGCCGCGTTTTCATTTGCTGCTGGCTGCGGCTCCACGTCCATGGCTTGAGGCTCGATTTCAATGAAATCGTCCTGAAGCGGCTTCTGTTAACAGTTTGGCAGTGCAAAGGTTGGTCGATTGTGCGATTGTCTACTTACGCGCTTCTTATTGTTAGTTTCAGCCATTCCCGTTTTTTTTTTTTGTCTTTCAAAACTTGACTAAAATATAATGAATAAAATTAAGATTGGAAATACTTTATCAAAAGCCTATTAAATTTTTTAGTTGTGTGATCTACCAGGAAACCAATACAAAACTGAAGCTACACGAATTCTCATTTGTACCAGGTTGGCAGTTTCGATATCAGAGCCTACTCGAAGCTTACAAATACGTAAATAAAACAAAAAACAAATTGGTTTTTAAAATTCTAATTAATTAGGCTAAACATGACAAGAAAAACATGTCAAAAATATTTTTGGTAATAAAATAACTTAACATTTAAAAGAAAAAAATGTGCATAGGAACTGAAATTAGAGTAGAATAAAAACCTTTCGAAAATATTACAAAATTTGAAGTTAGCGAAATATTTTGAAATAATAAATAATAATAAAACTGAAAAAAAATATTTTATAACAATGTTCGATACGATTAAATAGATAAACAAATATATATGGCAGTATTTTACATTGGTTTAATAATATATAGATTAAATTAGATATAAATTAATTATTTGAGGAATCGCAGATTAAGTCGATATTTGCATTATTTATTATTATTCAATATTCAATTTAATTATCATTTCTTGACTTCAATTCCAATCAAGCAGCTGACCAAAATCCTATCTTAGCATAGCCCCAACTCCATTGTTAAATTGATCTACTCTTCCCTTCGACGCGTTGCTTTATCTCTTTATTGTTGGACTTTTGGGCGGAGTTTACTTTCGCCGTGCTGTTTAACTTTGAGCTTGACCAAAACTTGCCCGCCCTGCGGCTGCAGGCTAACTTATATTTCTGTAGATAGATTTCTGGTGTATCTATGAGCAAGGAGCTGCTCGGGCCGAGGCGGGTAAAATTGTTTTATGCTGTGCACGGTAAAAATTCAGATAATTGCAGTTGGAATTCAACAAACAACAGCAAAGCGTAAATAGAAAGCGCAAAGTCAACAGAAAAGCGAAAAACTATATAAAATATATATATACGAAAAAAAAGTGTAGGAAAATGCTTGCTGCAATTGGGCGGGGCACTGGCGCAAACCTAAAACCTTTGTCCACACACAAAGACACGCACACATACACAGCGAGGGCCACAACACAAACAAACAAATAGTCGCTAACCTTTGGCCCGACTTCCACTTCAGGTGCGCCAAGTAATTGCAACTGAAACTGAAACTTGGCAAAGTTGCAAAACAAAAAAAATCAAGTCGCGTTCGCTCGACTAGCAGTTACCCTGCACACACTAAATCTGTGATTGACTGATGAACTCTAAAAAAAAGGGAGGGAGAGAAAAAGAGGCATATCGGACAGGCGCGGCTCGGCTGTTGATCAGGCAAGATTGAAAAAAGCCGGTTCAAACCTGGAACTCAAATTTATATCTTACTAAGGATCAAAAAACATCCAAAATCTGAACCGAACCAAATTAACTTTTATAAATTCGAAATAAAAATGTTTCAAGCCGACCCAAACATAATTGTATCGAATCAAACTACAAGGTTCGAGACCTGAACCGAACCTGTTCGAAATATTTCTGTGTACTGAATGTATATAATGTGAGGATTGTGCGAAGCACTGAAATGCAACCAAAACCAAGTGCTATCGATCAATTTATTATATGAAATTTTAATATAAATAATTTATGAATCCTATTTTTGTTGAAATTGTTCACTCACTCTCTCTTTCTCTCTCCCTCTCCCTCTCTTTCTTTCCACCTTCTATTTAAGGAAAATAATAATTCTCTAAGCATTTATTCAAATTTTTTTAAAATTAATTTAAATATTTATATGTTTATATAGTATTTGAACATAAGTATAAACGAGAAAGTCTTTTACTTGTTCTCTCTGTACGCACAGTTCTCGAGTTTTCTCGATGGGAATATTGTATTATCGTACGCCCTGCATTTTCGATCCTCGGAGCTAAAATTTTCCATTGACATTAACAGACAGACAGACCAGTTTGATACACTACCTCCTCTACGGCTCTACTTTAATTTTTCTAATGTCAATCGAAGATCTTATTACCATTCCATCCATTACCATTTCATCAATACTTTTTACGGCTATGCGCGGTTCAGGTTTCCTTGACTCCAATGCTTAGTTGGCATCAGCTGCTGTGGCTGTTTGCTGGACTCGTTTACTCTGGGAGGCACTGATGACACTGACCGCAGGTAGAGGCAAGGTAAGCAATGCTTTTAGAGATGTGGACAAAGGTGTCGAGCCCATGGACCCAAAAATAGACCAGTCCATGCTGGGATATTATTACACAGTCCTATTATTACCAAGGCTGAAGCCCTGAGCCTCGCCTACTTTCGGCTTTTGATATATTCTCAGTATTTTGCATAGGTTTTATGGCACATTTGTTTGCTATATTTTTACAATCCGATTTCGGAAAGTTATCGATGGTTTTAATTAGGAGGGCAAGGTTTCTTAAAGAGATAAAATCGATTTAAAAGAATAATAAGTTTTTAATTAGTTGCCAGTCACCTGCGCTTGCACAAAACCTATACACCCTCTCGAACGCATTTTCAACGGGAGCCTGCCCCAACGAAGAGTAAAAGATAAGAGAATCGAATCAAACAAACTGCAGCTAGAATTGGAGTAACAGCAACTACAGTAGATATACGTTATAAGGGCCACGGATTTCGGGTTAGGCAACGGGCTTGTATAAATGCTCGAGCATAGGGAACAGTGCAGGACGTTCGCAGGACACATGCTTGGCCCTTGCACCAGCACTTCGATAGAGGTCACTGCGGCTGCATGAAAAGAAATCGAGCGGGTGGCGCGACTTGGCTGTTGCCATAGTGTTGACAAAGCGAGAGATAAGGGTGTCCCGGAGTGTCCGTCGGACACAGGATTCCGGCAGCGAGAACAACTGGTGCCTCGCTTCTCTTGTTGATTTTAATTAAAATCTTTAAGCTGCTGTTGATTAATAATTATAATGCAGCGTTGGCGTCTGCAGGTGATATTGCACTGGGGAAAGTTAATTACCGCGCTTATTAGGTTGCAATTAAACTGCCGTCCGTTCCATCCCCTCTGCCGGACTGCTCAATACTCCTCACTAGCTAGATGATTGGCCCCGGCACTCTCTTGGTGCATAATGTGCCACGAAACTCGTTCTTGGGCAATTAACAAGCTCGACGAATTATTAAAACTGTTTGTAAAACCTCGTAGAGGATCAGAAAAAATGTTGTCATAAAATAGGTATCGCCTAGAAGGAGGAGATATGTCCGGCAGCCGAACTAGCATAGCCACAATCGAAAACAATGCAAGGCCGTCTTTCTGCTTTAGGCAAAACATGTGTTTCTATATAACACAGTTGCCAAAAAATCATCGGTACAAAAATAAGATCATTCGAGGCTAATCATTTTCCCCGCCTCCCCAAATATATGATTTTGTCTCAAAATGTGTAACGCAGAGATCTAGATCAGTATCAAAAGCCGAGTTAATATAGCCATGTCCGTCTGTCTCTCAGAATTGAAGCTATCGACTTGAAACCTTGCACTTATCCGTCTTCCGGATGCAGGCAGTACATATGTCGGAACCGGATCGGGCCACTATATAAAATAGCTGCCAAAGGAATGAACGATCGGAAACTAGGTTCTTATATGCAAAAATATTCTTTTTATAAATATTTCTTTCCACATATTTGCAAGTTGGAAATATCTATTAGGGCATTTAATTCTCGACGTGCCGAAATATCATTCCTTTTTCGATTTATTTATTTATTGTTATGCGTTAAGTTTATGCATTCAAAATGAATTGAAAATTTTAATTATATTCAAATCAAAAATTTAAACATAATTAATTCAATATTTAAACAGACAGGGGGAAAAGTTATATTATTTAATTAGAAATTAGTTTATATGCGAGAAGTGAGAGAATAAAATTAGAGTTAATACAATAAAATATACAAAGGTGTATTAAATATATGTAAATAAGTGTTAAGGCGCAATACATTATTTAGTCGCGTTGGTCACACTGTCAATCAAATTATGCTCTTCATAAAGCAAATGCTTAAATCAAAAAAGTTGTACATACGTTTTTATTAATTATTGCCTCTAAGCATTATATTTTAATAAAATTGGCTAAAAATACAAAAAAAAAGTGAATTTTATTGTAAATTGGGCCACACTCAAATCGATTGCATTTAAACTGTTGAAGTCAAAGTCAAAGTCGAGCTGCAGCTGGTTGCAATTCTCTCATTTCGCGCTATTTGCAAATCCATTTTGCAAATTATCAAACGGCATATTTGGCCAGGTACTGCCCAGCCACGCCCACCTGCCCATCAGCCATACCAATGGCCCCTCAAAGAACCTTTTGATTTGACTGGGAACGAACGCTTTGGGCTGAGTTGATGGGCAGGTGGCTCTTTCGGCTATTTCGCTTGAACTTGTGGCCAGCAACTGCATTTGGTTTTACTGTCCAAGCAGAGAGAGGCACACACACACACACACACACATGTGTGTGTGTCAGCTGTGTTTGTGTGTTGTCTGTCATAGCTTGGCCCACACACAAAAAGTATTTGATTTTTATTTTCCTTTTTGCCAAACCGACTTGTTTGTTCAAAATTCTGATATATTCACGTTTTGGCTTTTTGGCCACAGTTTTGGCCGCGTCCCCCAACGATCTGGCAACCTTTTAACGAACGTTTTCGCCATTTGCTGTTTTTTAGCCCCTGGCACACTCACACGCACACATACACAGACAGAAAAACAAAGGCAGCGTAGGCCGCCGATAATATATATGTATGTATTTTGTTTTGCTTGGCTTTTCACGTGTATCCTCCTCCTGCTCCTCGTCCTACCCCGCTCTACTAGCTGTTTCCGTATCGGATATGCCAGCCCCGCGCTGCGCCTCGCTGTTTGTGTTTTCCGAGTACTTGGTTATGGTAATCGAATTTCAAATTATTGCCATGAGCTATATGCACGTCTGACAAGCGGCATGGGCTAGGACATCGGCAGGACACGCAGCCACACGGCGACTTCTTTTGCCACTGAGCTTATTCTCTTTTATACTCTTGCATCAAGGGTATGGCAACTGTGTCACCTTATATGGCTGGTAATGTTCCTACACTTGCAGCTAGCGAGTTTTCTC